AACAGGGGCATTGGAGTCTTTTGTGTCTCCAGATGGAGAAGCTGCACTGATAGATGGAGCTGAGCAAGCAAAGCCTTGGTGGGAGCAGTTCCCAAAAAGATGGGTGATAGTATTGCTCTGCTTTGCTGCTTTTTTGTTATGCAACATGGATCGAGTGAGTGCCTCTCTTTTGTTCTGGTTATAAGTCTGATTTTCTAATATTAGTGTTCTCTTTTTTTGCATTTTGATGTGACTTTCTTATGAAATATCACAATTACAATTTGACTTGTATCTCAAATCGTGACAATATCGCTATATACTTCTTTTATTCCCTTAAAATAGAAAATTATCAAGTCTCCTTTGCAGTTCTTGAGTTTTAATTTTCAATATCAATCTTCGTGAAATCATCTTTTTGCCATATTGGGATGCAAGAATTGATCAGTTCAATTGATTTTAGGTCAATATGAGCATTGCAATTCTTCCTATGTCAAAGGAATTCAATTGGAACAGTGCTACTGTCGGCCTCATTCAGTCTTCTTTCTTCTGGGGTTATCTGCTCACACAGGTTTCCTCTAATTCTGGCAGTATCTAGTCAAGCAGTCTGTTTGCGAGAATAAATAATTTCATTATATATATTATAGTAAGCATTTGTCAAAACCTGTTTCATTATGGGATATGGTTTTGATATACACTATTCAAGTTTCACTGCTTGTGGATTCTAATGAGAGTTGACATTGCAGAGAAGCAAAGACATTAAATTAACTGATGACCATAGACTTTCTTTCTTAATCCATAATTGAATTTAATCATATATGTACTGAAACTAAAAGCTTATATTTCTTTCTGAAATGTTTTGTATGCTATCCTTAAGAATCTTCTGCTAGACATGCCTATATACTTCATTTTTATTTGTCTAATTCTGTTGTCTAGATCGCTGGAGGGATTTGGGCAGATAAACTTGGTGGGAAAGTAGTGCTAGGATTTGGAGTAGTTTGGTGGTCTATTGCAACTATTCTAACACCCATTGCTGCTAAAATTGGGCTTCCTTTCTTGCTTATCATGCGCGCCTTCATGGGTATTGGAGAGGTCAGCCACATAACCAAAAGTTATCTATTATAACTGTTCAATAACTGCAAAATGTCTCTTGTTCCTAATGTGGGATATTCTCCTATTCAGGGTGTTGCTATGCCTGCTATGAATAATTTACTGTCAAAATGGATTCCAGTCTCTGAGAGAAGCAGATCTCTTGCACTAGTATATAGTGGCATGTATCTTGGTTCAGTCACAGGCTTAGCCGTGTCTCCTATTTTGATTCAGAAGTTTGGCTGGCCATCAGTGTTTTATTCCTTTGGTTCCCTTGGGAGCATCTGGTTTGCATTTTGGCTAAGCAAAGTAAATATTTTCTTATTCTTCAATGTTCTTATTACTTTATTTCATCTTTTCTGATAAATGTTACATTTAGAAGCCTACATGTGGTCTAAGACAAACTATAAAAGCTTGGTATGATCACAGCAGTGGCATTTTATACAAGTGTATGATCTCATTTTATACCATATGGCATCTTATGCAAGAGTTTTCTTGAGACCCTCAGTATTTTGCTTCTGCAGGCATACAGCTCTCCCAAAGAGGATCCTGGACTTAGTATGTCTGAGAAGAAGCTGATCATGGGTGGAGGCATATCAAAAGAACCTGTGACCAACATCCCATGGAAACTAATCTTGTCAAAGGCACCTGTCTGGGCTCTCATTATCTCCCACTTTTGCCATAACTGGGGAACATTTATTCTTCTGACATGGATGCCTACATACTATAACCAGGTACATCCTGTAGCTGCAGCATCAGCAAAAATGTGGCCTTTCCTAACTGGGTTTATGTTCCCATTTGCATTCTCATCATTAATAAAGTGCATGATAGATGATTCTACTTTTAAGCTAAGGATGAACACTAATTTCTCATCCTTAAAAGTATGGTTGGAAAGATAATATAACTAGACTAACTTTCTGCTGTATATCTGTGTTGTGTCAATCATCATCAAATGATGCAGTTTTCAAACATAGCCGTGGCCATTGGCCAGACTTCTTGAATCTGAACCAGCCAATTCTGGAACTGATCTCATGGCAATTTGTTAAATTAAACTCATTTTCTGATAAACTATGGATGTTTATATAGGTGTTGAAGTTCAACCTCACTGAATCTGGACTATTATGTGTATTGCCGTGGCTTACTATGGCCATCTGTGCAAATATAGGCGGTTGGATTGCAGACACACTTGTGAGCAAAGGATTCTCCATAACATCAGTCCGCAAGGCAAGGACTCCATATCATTCTCACATATATCTATATACATATAGAGAAGCTACTAACCTTGTAATGCAGTTTTTAGTCCAGTAGTCAATATCTTTTAATAGCTCATACGGACTCAATTTGCAGATAATGCAATCAATTGGGTTTCTAGGCCCTGCTTTCTTCCTTACCCAACTTAAACACGTAAAGACTCCTGCTTTAGCAGTGTTGTGCATGGCGTGCAGTCAGGTTTGCACTATCTCAATAATACGTTGCTTGACTAGGTTCTTGTAACTTTCCTAACTTTGACTATTTGTCCGATCTTCTCCTTCAGGGATCAGATGCATTCTCTCAGTCTGGCCTCTACTCCAATCATCAGGACATCGGACCCCGTTATGCTGTAAGTTATTTCTAGTGCATGTTGACCGGTGCTTTTCTTTCTCATCCTTTTAGTCCTGTATGTTTCATGTGGTACCAAAGTGTTAGATTCCTGGCTCCAAAACTAATGTTAAATTACTTTTTCTATGTTGCTGTTGAGACTTATTTTGGGACATTTATGACGTAGCTCTAAATACTTCTTCTGCAGGGAGTACTGTTAGGACTATCGAATACAGCAGGGGTTTTAGCCGGTGTTTTTGGAACAGCTGCAACCGGATACATACTACAAAAGGGTACAATAAATCTGCTCGTCAATCTTCTACATAATTTTCTAAACGTCGTGGATTAAATAACAGCCTGCCTTTATGAATGTTGTGGATTAAATAACAGCCTGCCTTTCTGAATGTCGTGGATTAAATGACAGTTAATTTTTGCGTGACACGATGAATGTTGAATGTGATGCAGGATCATGGGATGACGTGTTCAAAGTTGCAGTCGCGCTCTACATCGTAGGCACATTAGTATGGAACATCTTTTCAACAGGGGAGAGAATTCTTGATTGAGTTGTATGAACATCCTATGTTGCTAAGAACATCAACATAACCAAAGATGCAATGGTGTTTCAAGATTGAACTTCAATGGGAAGCACAAATAGAGGGCTGTGCAAAATGCTGACAAAAATTTTGTCTCTTCCACTTTGAGAGGCTCTTGTGAGCCAAGAGCTTGTGGGTCTATGAAGGATAAACCTTGTAGCAATCCATAGCTTTTAATTTTGAGTACATTCTGCCCTGTTTTGGGTTTGATTCATATTTATAGTTCTTAACTTAATATCTCAAAAGTCCTTTCAACACCTCATAATGGTTTGACTGACTTGACTATCATTTGGTGTGACTTGGACTTGATTATTGAGTGTGATTGTTGGCTTTTTAAAAGATTGTTTGAAGTATAATGTTGATGTTGGTCTTCTCTAACTCAAAAGTCTTTTCAAAACCCTACATTGGTTTGATTGACTTAATTCTTGTTGGACTTGAGTGCTTGACTATTGGGCGCGATATATATCTTTTTAAAAGATCATTTTTAACTGCGATATATAACTTTTTAAAAGATCATTTTTAATTCAAACTAATGGTTTGACTGACTTGATTGTCATTGGATGAGACTTGGACTTCACAATCTAGTGTGAATGTGTGATGGACAACTTTTAAAAAGATTATTTTAATTAATGACATATGATGTGAACTTTTTAAAAGTCGGTTTGAATTAATTATGATGATGAGATTTTTACTTTTTTAAAAACCAAATAACATTCATTAACGTAAATGTTCAATACAAGAAGAAAACGAAATTAACTAACAAAAGGGACCCGTCTGAAAACGAGTAGCTCTTGCCAAGGCATGAGCAAACTTATTCACTGATTTAGAAACATAATGAATGGACACTATTTTAAAATGTCGTTCTACATACGATCCTGAGATGTGTCATTGAGCAATAGACATTCTGGCAGATGAGCATCATTTAAACAACGAATGAATATGGTCATTTTTTGCTGCCACAAACTCCCCATTACTATCCATCACGAAAATACCAAAATAAGCACCACCAACATCAGTGAAAACCATGGCATCCACATAAACGGCAAATTATGCTGTGCATCCGTATGCACCATGCATGGTGCATACTGATGCAAAAACGACGTCGTTTTAATAAAACACGCGTCTCCCCTTAAAAAAAAAAAAATCAGGTTCGATTCCCAGCAACAACATATGAACTAAAATTCCATAATCGATTACCTATAATTCCATAATCGATGAACTATAATTCCATAATCGATGAACTATAATTCCATAATCTAATCTATGAATTAAAAATTCCAGAATAAATGAACTAAAATTCCATAATCTATAAACTAAAATTTCAGAATCGATGAACTACAATTCCATAATCGATAAACTATAATTCCATAATCAATGAACTATAATTCCATAATCTATGAACTAAAATTCCAGAATGAATGAACAATATAATGTTGTTGCTGGGAATCGAACCTAAATTTTTTTTAAAGGAGAGACGCGCGTTTTTTAATAAAACGACGTCGTTTTGGCATCCGTATGCACCATGCATAGTGCATACGGATGCACAGCACAACTATCCCACATAAACACACATAGTACCTGGACCGGCTATTCCCATGAGATTTTTACTTTAATCTCACTATTACATTACATTGCTAATTACTTTAGTCTTGATGTTATGTTACAATACTTATTACTTTAATCTCATTTAGTCATATTTTTATTAAAGTAAAATAAAGTTTTGGCTAGACCATACCATGACCCAAATTGCAAATTCCTATAATAAACAAAGCTAACACTGCAGACTGACATACAAGGAAGACGAAAGAATCAACATACCCAATAGTAGTACGTAAAATAATATTACAAAGCAAAGGTACAAAGAATTTTTTGGGTAATCTTATGCCAAGAAAAATAAGAATAATTTAACATAAAATAAGGAAAAAGAAAAAAGAATAATAGAAGAGTAAATACACGCAGAAAAATTTGAGGATTGTCTCCCCAACCTTAACTCGGTCCAACCCCCCTGTCTGCAATATTAATGAATGAGATGTACGTTCATGAGAATTATGTCTGATGAGGAGCCAACCTTAACTCCTCACAGCTCGCCACAACATTAATCCTCCATGTGAACACCTCTCCCCATTGTCAGATCCATACGCCATTAAACCCGGTTCAATTCATTCATGCTTAAATCCCATTCAGCTACCATTTCTACCCACAATTTAATCAACACCAAACCAATCCTTAAATCCTCCCAACCACCTTACCAACAACCTTAATTACCCTTCTGTTGATTCTGTACCTCCCTCATTAACGCCGTTGCATTTAACGCTGGCCGGAGCTCTGTTATGATCGTCTTTCATGGCGGAGACGATGGGTGTTAGGTCTCTGGGATGGACTTTTACCTTGAGCCCGTCTTTCATGAAGAGGGTGAGTGACATTTTCTGCTCCACTTGGTGGCCGGGAGAGAGGGATAGGCGGTGCCGGAGGAGCACGGCGGCGGCTATGGACTTCATTTGTAGATAGGCTAAGTCCCGGCCTAGACAGATTCTTGGACCGGCGTTGAATGATATGAATTTGTATTGATCTTGCATTATGAATTTCGTCCCGTCTGGGGTTAACCATCTTTCCGGTTTGAATTCTAAGCAGTCTTCTCCCCACGTGGATTTCATCCTTCCGGCGGAGTATATGGAGTAGGTTACCGATGAACCCGCCGGAACAAATGTCCCGTCCGGCAACACGTCGTCGGCGACCACGTGCTTCGAGTCCTCCGGCACGGACGGGTAGAGGCGGAGAGTTTCCGACAGTGCGGCTTTCAGGTACACCAATTTATCGACTTCCTCGAACTGCAACGGCTCGTCGAGCCACGCCGACATTTTGTCTCCGAAGTTTCCGCCGCGTGTCTCGGCGAGAACGGTGCAGATTTCGCGGAGGATGTTTTCCTCGACTCTAGGGTTTTGCATGATGAGGGAGAAGAACCAGCAGAGGGCGACGGATGACGTGTCTCGTCCAGCTAGGATGAAGTTGAGCGCCACGTGTTGCAGAACCTTGTCGTCGGAGTAGGATTCCTTCTTCTTCATGAATCGCGAGAGGAGATCGTCGTGGAGATTAATGTTGTTGTTGTTGTCGTTTTGGAGCTCGATCCTTCGAGCTTTAATGATGCTCGACATATACTCATCCAGCTGTTCTAAGCTTCTGCTCAGGCTAACTTCCATTCCGAGGCGCAGCCATTTCTTCACCTTCCAAATCACCTCCGGCAAGATGAACCGCTGGAGCGACGCCTCCGTGGCGCGGTCAAACGCCGCCGCGAACGTGTTCTCCGGCAGCCCCGGCGCCAGCGTTTCCGGGTCCTTTCCAAACGCCAACCCGCAGATATTATCGAACGTGAGGCGGAGCAACAGATCCTGCAAATCCACCGGTTTACCTTCGACCTGAGCCGTCTCTAGAACCGGACAGAACCGGAGTTTAATCGCCCGGTTCACCCACCTCCCCATCGCCTGCCGGAGCGTCCGCGTGGTGAACTCCAACGCCGCCGTCTTCCTCTGAAACAGCCACGTGTCCCCGTCGGAGTTGAAGATCCCTTGCCCTAAAAGTTCATGGAAAACGGACTGCCAATTCGGACCTTTCGGGTAGTTATCGAACCGGTTCTTCAAAATATGCTCCAAATTCTTGGGGTCGCATGTTACTGTAACGAGACCTTGCTTCCTGGCCAAGAAAGGCACGGCGCATATGCATGTCTGGTACGTGCCGCCGCAGGCGCGTAGGTTGTCGGCGATCCACTCATGCATACGTTCCGCGTTCTCGATCAACCCCGGCAAGCTCCCCAGCAACGGCCACACTCTGGGACCCTTTAAGGATCTGGAAATGAAGGTGAACCATAAGAGATAACATGTAACGCCACTGAACAACAACAAAGCCACGGCCAAATCCATGGTTTCAAAGAATCAGGGAGATTCAGAAGAGAAAGAATCTAATGGAATTGAATGAAGTGGGTGAAGAAAGGAATGGTGGGTGTGGGTAGTTCAAGTGGTTCAACAAGGGAAAATTGTACGGACACTACCCAGGGTCAAAATGGTGAAAAAAAAATGGAGGAAAAAGATGAATGTGAGAAGAAGAGAGGGAAGAGTGGAGGGGATTTATAGGGTAGAAAAAAGGGAGAAGAAGCAATTACTAAGGCCAGACTGTTTCTTGGATTTCACCATTCCTCACTGACTTATATTACCTCTAACCATCAGATGCCACCACCATAAATGCATCCACACCCCCACCCATCTTCAACTTTTTTTTTCTTTTTTCTTTTTCAAAAAGGGGTGAATTTAATCACATATAACATGGAATCCACAGTACCTAAACCCTTTCATTGGGTTCTCAAAGGAAAAAAAAAAAGGAAAAAAAATGAAAAACCTTTTCCTCTCTCTTCCCAACTAATTTCTGAGTGGAAAGGCGCTGGCTCCTTAAATTTCTGCATTCAATGAAGGGGGTATTGAATGGGATTAGTTGAGAAACTCTGGGTAGTGGGGAGAACAAGATTCCTCCAGTTTTTAACTATCAATTCAGACTTTTAGTTGAAACAGAATAGGTCTGTAATCTATAAAGCTCTTTTAGTTGAGACAGAACGCGATTGTAAGACGTAGTTTATATAATTTGAGGGTGTTGAAAAGAGGGAAGGAAATGTTGTTATGAAATATGCAGCTGGTTAGTACTTGGTGAACAACCCACCAACAGCATTCAAAACAATAGGTTAAGTTACGTGACTCAATATCTCTTTTGCAATATTATCCTTATACTACTAGACTATAATAGAATATGATAAAAGACAATTTAGGAGTAAAAACATTATCAGAAAACCATGGCCAGTGGCTGACTTTTGACCATATTGAATTGGGCGCTGCAGAGAGCCAATAGTCACCACTGCCGTGAACTTCTTCTGATCTGCAGGAGCTGAAATATCATATCGAAAGTCAACTATGCTGCAGCCATGGATATGGTGAGCAGAATACAATGGCCTTAGCTGAATGGGAATTCGAGTCCCTCTGCATCTAATGCACCCAAGGTCAACCCAGAATTTAAGAAGAGATGAACAACTAACTGTGTGTGTTTTTAGTATAGTAACTGACAAATGTAATAACCAAGTCAAACTTCTTAATTGCAGATTTGCAGGTTGGGGTAATATTGCTATAATTTGCCATATGTACTTGATTATGATCAAGATATATAAAAATTAAACTCTTGTATGTGGGGCAATATAATAATCTGTTTTACCTAACAGTTTGGGTAGGTAGGTAGTAAGCGGATTACTAATACAACTATAATATTTAAGATGAATTTCGACAATTGGTAAACAGATTGCTAATGCAACTACAATGTTTGATTCAGGATTGGGCTGTTGTTAAACAAATTGTTAATCTAACTATAAGATTCGATTTGAGCTGAATCTGAATTAATCTCGTTATGCAAATGCTGACCTTAATCATATTTAGCAAATCTTGAAGTTAGCCTATAGTGGTTAAGTGTACATCTAACAGATAAAAGGTAGACTGAACTTGGATAAACTATTACTGGTAATGCTGGTTTACATCTCATGTCAGAATGAAAACTTTAAAACTCTTAAGCCAAATGTAGCACTAGTTTTTAAACTTCTCTTTTGGGGTGATGCATGACAGAAAGGTAATAAAGTTGAGTAAAATGCAGTCAGAACTCGGAACTGATTGGGACCATTTTTAGAGCTAAAGCATATGATAAACTCTTCCAAGAAAACTGCCAAAATAGAAATACCAAATGGAGACGAAATTTTAGCAGTTGATGCTTCAGATAGTATTACTAAGAAGGAGAGGTGGTAGGTAAACTGCATTACCAATGTGCAGAAAGAACTTTTCCTTGATTTTTTGCATTAGCTTCAACAAGTTTGAATTTGGAATGGAAAATGTATTTTGAAAAGGGAAGTAAACAAATTTGGTTCTTTTACATGGACCATATAATGAATGGTACTTCATCTCGGGACATAGCTCAACTAATTGACCAATCTAAAATTATTTTGTTAATAGTCGGGACGTAACTAATTGGCCAATTCAAAATTGTTTTGCTAGCAGTCACGGGATATAAGACGCTAGTGTATTAATACAAGCACATTAGGATACCTGTCTTTGTTACTAGCATTAAAAAAACCACAAAATTAACACACTAGTAGACTACAAGGACTAAATAAAGCCATAGTTCTATATCATCAGAGTATTGACAAGTAAAATACTGCTTGATGAACACATCACGATTGCCCGTGTAACTTTTTCAAGCACGATGAAAACTATCATTGGACAAATTGGTATTTCAGCTTGTCAAAATTTTGATTTTTGACAAGATGGAATTAATAATAAACATAAAAAATACTGTGAGATTTTATCCCTGAAGTGACAATGGCAATCCATCAGAGAAAATAATCGTAAAATTCATCAATATGATTGTAGAGTAATATCAAGGCAAGTATTTACAGGAGTTGTCTACTCATTAGAAGTAGAACATAAATTAGAGCCACTCAAACAAACTTGCACATCACATTCACTTCCCTGCCTTGGCTGCTCTAGCCCTCCTGCCTTTAATGTTGTGATGAAGTGCTGCTCCCTTTGAGGAAGGAACCCCTGCGGTCACCGCCAACAATAATGTCTTTAAGTCGCGACAAGGGACCAAGCATCCTGCCAATCCTCTGTAGAGGTGTACAATTAAAAGCGTCACAAGTTAGAGAAGAGGGAAGTCCAAGAACTGACAACATAGCTTAAGAACCCAAATAGTAATATTCAGCATGATATACCAGGTAAAAGGTGTAGCAAAATTCACACAATGCCAAATTGAGTGGCAATGCACCGTAGGATATACTCTATCTTTATACCCAGATTAATTGCCATCAGGTAGTATATATAATGCTTTCATTTTCAGGCCAGTTCTTTCTGGCCACTCATGGGAAAACTCTTTCTTCCATTCTATTTTCATGAAGATTGGCCACTCATAGGAGTAATCTTTAGCACACTAGCACTAGCACAGGGTTTAAACTTTAAACATTATAGTGTACATACTTCAATTATCCACTTGATAAGTGAAGCACATTATAAGTGTCCCTTGTTAATCTTACAGGACATGTTGAGTAGAACTAAATATAGCTTAATGTAAATAAAATAGTTTTCAGTATACAACTCATTTTTTAAAATTTTCCCTATCCCTATGGGTTAGGTTAAGCAAGCTATTCAGGGTGAACCTGAGGAAAAAGATAAAAGTTAATAACAAAAAGAGGAATACCAAAGAGTGACAAAAGAAATCATGCTCAGATTAAATGGGTCAAAATAAAATTGGAGGAAAATGAGAGGAGAGGAACTTAATAGAAGTAGTCATTGATTTTCTATATTAAGTAATAACTGGTCAACTTCACAGTTAACACCATTAGAAAGATTTTAAGACGTTCAGCATCTTTTATTTGTAAACTAAATTGATATACCTCATCATGGAGCCCATGCTGCCACTTCAGTTGCAAGATTTGCCACCTCTCGTGTTGCCACCGCTGACCAAGAATCACAAGTCCCATTACAGCAGCAGCAACAAAGATTGACCAAAATGTATTTGCCTCTTTAGCATGTGCAACAAGAGAGGCAGCTTGCCTTTTCCACCAAGCTTGACAAGGAAGGTTATCATCACGCTTATTCTTATTTGAGACACCTGAATTTGATCCTTGCTCAAAAGGTTCTAATGGACAATTACTTGCAATGTTTTCCTCAACAATGGTTGATCCAGCCATGTGTTCTTCACTATGCAAGGAACTAGGCATTGCAGTGCTGTGTTTAATTGATTCTTTTGCTGCTGTATCTTCTTTGAACTCCGCATCACTAATGGGTAAGATGTTTCCATTTTCATCAAAGATCTGAATCCCAGGAAATGCTGACGAGCCAAATCCTTTAACGTTCATATTCTCTTCAAACTTCATACCTGCTGTACGGTCTCCCTCAGTTACAAATTTCTCATTTTTAACAACCTGTTCAGTCTGGATCTGATTGTTCTCTGGTTCCAATGGCAAATTTTCATGCTGACTTGGTGGAAAGACAAAGTGACCAGACATAAACATGGCATCAGAAGTTTCAGCTTCATACTCTGCACTACTCTTATGCTCGTCATTCAAATCAGCCTGTTTACCAGGAGCAGCAGCATATGCTGATGCTGTAAGGGATACAACCTCCCACTCATTTCCACGAGGAGCTGTCTCTTCGACCTCCTCATTACTTGCCATTGAGAGAAAATTTGAGTTTCACAGCCCTTAGATGCAATAATTCAGATTAGAGTAAGATTTACAAAATAAAGCATGTAATATGGTAAACATTTTAAGCCAAAAGCAATAACATGAAAAGATTGCAAGAGTAGCACAGACCTTATTCCTCACATGCACCAATTCAGATAAAATTAAGACACTGAATAAACCTCATAATTTGATTGACCTCTTAACCACAAGAGCAATAACAATTGCAAAAGTATCAAAGACTATATTTTAGAAGTGGAAAACTGTGAGCTCCAGTCTCTGCACTTAAATCTATGGTAGGTGAAAAATTAATATAGACGCTTCTCCTCTTTCCCCACCTAGTAATTTCAATACATTTTTGCTTTACTATGTCCATGTAGAGATTAGGCAAAGAACATCAACCTTCAGAAACACCACTCCAGTTTGGCAGTTTGCCTAAACAATGACGTTTGTATCATTTTCATGAAAAGATTGTTATCTAACCTATTTAATTGTTCAAATATACATACAATATAAATGTAAATAGCACATATAAGTAAAGGTATATCTATGCGGTGATTACCAAATATGCATATAATTAAAACAAATTCCAATTAATATAGGATATTCCTCTAAAGCTATCAAATGGCATGAAACAACTCCACCAAACCCTTTATCATTATTATTATTATTATTAAACAACAACAGTATTTAGATGAGATTCCAAATCCAAGAGAAAGAGCTCAATAATAGCAACACTGTAAAAGACATGAGATATAGATACCAACACGGCTAAGCACATAGGCCACCGTGTGTGAATTCCAACCTATAAAAGCTTCAACGATAGAACCATAAAGACGAAAGCAGCACAGATCCAATATCAAATCGGAAGGCAAACAACCATAGGTTGAACCTTTCGAGTAAATAACCAAATAATCTAATCAAATAACTCAATCATAAATAGAAACGAATCCGATTAGAAGAGAAAGTCACGCCATAATACTTACAGAAGAGAAAGCAGAGAGATCACGGCGATAACCAGAGCTCCGGTGAGAACGATCGGAAAAAGAGAGATACGAGGAGAGAGAGAGAGAGAATTTTATAATTGAGACATCGGATGAAGACTTGAAGATTGAAGAGATAGAGGAACCGGAGTAGCCGGTGATTGTGTCATGTTGAGGCTCGTGGTGAAAGTAGCATGACTACCGGCTGTGAATGGTGAAGGATGTCGTGTCTCCTGCCATGTGTCAGTTTGGGTTCTGATTACTTTGGTTCGGTTACTTGTGTTAGTTAACAACGGGAGCTTGAATATGGGCTAGTAAAATATCTTACCCATATAGAAAAGCCCAATAATAAGTGGGCATAATTTGGGCTACCAGTAAATACAATCGTTATATCCTACACCACGGCGCACATAGCATTGTGCGCCGCGCGCCTCCCAAAACGACGTCGTTTTGGGGTCGTGTTGGGAGGCGCGGTAGGAAGTTGCTGAGATTATGTGTATTCGTTCACAACGTTATGTGTATTTTTTATACAATTATGTACATTGTTTTTATACAATTATGTACATCTGAATCAGAAAATTTGTGTGTATTATGTTAAGAGTTGATGTGTATTATGTTAAAAGTTTATGTTTATTATGTATTATGTTAAATTATGTGTATTATCTTTTAAAAAGAGTATGTATATTTTGTTATAACATTATGTGTATTCATGTATAACATTATGTGTATTCAAGTATAACATTATGTACATTCTTGAACAGCGGGTTTTTTTTTAAAGAAAAGTCTACTGCCATTCACTAGGACGGGAAATTTCAAAAAAAAAAATAATTAAAACGACGTCGTTTTGCATCTGGACGCATAGTGCAATGTACGCCGTGGTGTAGGATATAAATTGCCCAGTAAATAGCTCATTATTGGCACTTCATTATCTTTGTTATTTGTATAGGGAACCGGCCCGTAAATGTAAGTCACATACAATAATTTGTTCTCTTATAGGAAAATGGTCAAATTTACCCCTAAATTTTATACAAGAAATTAATTAAACTTTTAAAATTCTAAAAGTTATAATTAAACTCATCGACATGTTATTTTGATATATTAAAATTAAAAAAAATAGGTAAGTGATAATATGTAATAGCATGTCACTAAGATTCTGACAAGTAACGACTACTAACTCGGTGACTGACGATCACCGATTTGCCTTTGAAGTGGGCCACCAAATGGTGCAAGTTTGTCTTCTCCAGCAAAAGGCGATTGCCTATCAACCTTTTCCACCAGAGAAGGTAATTTGCTAGTCGCCATCGGCGAATACCGATCACTTGATTTAGTAGCCGAAGCATCGTTCAAGCACGTTGGAGTTTCGCTAAAACCTAGTGACCTACTATTATAGGTTACTAACAGATTTGTGGACTTTAATATAATAAAATAACATGTTGATGAGTTTAATTGTAACTTTTAAAATTTCATATGCCTAATTGACTTCTCGTATAACGTTTAGGAACCTATTTAAGTGTTTTAATTTTCCTTTTCTTATGTATGAATACCTTGAGTGTCAAAGGCAAAATCAAACTTAGCCCAAGGCACCCACACTTCAACCCTACATAAATAGCGAATGAGTTAATTCACGATGAATGCGTTAAAAAAATCTCACATCATATAATGTACCACAAACAAATAATAAGACGATAAAGTGAGCAAATAAAATTTTAAAAACATGTTACGATCTTACAATAATGAAAACGATGGCTCATTTTTTAATAAATTTAAAATATAATATTGTACTATATTGTTTTTAGTATATTTTTATAATTTCAAACGTAATTATTATTTTTTTTTTTTTTATCATCGAATGATAACAACCAAAAATTATTGTAACATCCAATTATATTGGAAAGATTTTGCACTTTTGCTCAATCGGCACGGAATCTCGTCCTAGTTTTTATTTGCCGTTTGCAGGCTGAAATGGCCAGTCCTCATGTCGCTGTTGCAATAGAGGATAGACAGATACGACTCCCGTTTGGTACCAAACCACCACCAGTAGCGATCTTTTGTCACCTTGGCTAATTTGCATTATGATACCGACCATTATCATCTTCTCATTTTATTTATTTATTTATTTTGATAACGCAGTTTATTGACTTCACAAACTATATCCTGATACTCACACCCAAATGCACACAAGGAACCCAACTCTAGATTGTTTGTGGTGCAGAAGCGAGTCTTAAGTGTATTACTCTGTCCACTAGATCATGTCATGGGGCTTATTATTTATTTATTATACATAACATTTGATATTTCTATCACTATGAGACTAATTCATGTTCGGCTCGAACAACGTCCACAATTTTTTTCTTACTAAAAAAAGGCTTGGTCTAAAACTTTTTAACATGGTGTACTTTGACATTGCATTGCAGACTTGCAGTTACAATAGTGACTTTTATTCAAAAAAATATGTGGCTCAAGAGTTTTTATTTATTTTTAATGAAAAAAAAAAAACATTTAGTATCTTCATCTATGTACCTGGGTAGCGCCCACATAGTTCGGCTTTTGAGGAAGGTCGAATTCAAAACTCTTTAGTATGGCACATTCTGAATTTGCAGTTACATTAGTAGTATGCTTACCAACTATTTCAAGCGGCTGGTTTATCTCTTCATTTTATTCAAAAAAACAAACAAATAAGACTATAATTCACTGTTTCATTAAATAAAATGATAATAATAAACAAGAAAAGGAAAAAGAAGATTGGGCAACAGAGAAAAATGGCCATATATTATACAGGCATGATAAGTAAGGTGGGACTAGCTGCCGCCCTGCAATTTTCTAACACCCCTTCCCAAGCTCCTATCACTATAAGTATATGTCCTATGTTTTCATTTTGCTGAGCACCAATCCTTAGCCAAAAACTTCAGCCAAAGTTACATTACTAATACTTCAAGTTCATCAATGGCTGCTTTAATGAACTTCATTAAGGCAAGAAAATCATCCATGCTGCAGTACAGCTGCAAATTCTTCACAACCCAACCTCTGCCTGGTTCTGCTTCTCCCTCTTTTGCTCAAAGAATCAGAGATCTGCCCAGAAACACCCCCGGCACTAACGTCAAGCCTGAAGTTTCTCAGGTATATCTTTCTGTTATCATAATTTTGTGTGTGTCAGTGTTATCTGCATATTTGATGTTGACTTTTCAGTGTATATACGACTATGTATATATGCATGATGCTAAGGAGAACTTAGAAACTTGGATCTTTTGTGAGTTTCAGCTTATTGGGAAAACACCTCTTGTCTATCTTAACAAAGTCACTGAAGGGTGTGGTGCTTATGTGGCTGCTAAACAAGAGATGATGCAACCTACTGCTAGCATCAAAGACAGGTATATATATATATGTGTGTGTGTGTGTAATATTATCCTCTTCACACATTCATCATGAAAGGAAACAAAAAGTTTAGTCCTTAATTGTACTATGTTAATGATGTTTCTGTGTTATGATATCAGGCCAGCACTGGCAATGATCTTGGATGCAGAAAAGAAAGGCTTAATCTCGCCTGAACAGGTAAACCGGAGCATAATCTTTTTGGAAGTTTGTTAAGTTTTGAGCAAACGACACTGATAAATTATGTGTTGACAATGTATGGTTTAGACAACTTTGATTGAGCCTACGTCTGGGAATATGGGGATCAGTATGGCGTTTATGGCTGCAGTGAAAGGGTACAAAATGGTTTTGACAATGCCCTCTTATACAAGCATCGAGAGAAGGGTGACAATGAGGGTGTTTGGAGCTGATTTAGTCCTCACTGACCCGACAAAGGGAATGGGAGGAACTGTCAAGAAAGCTTATGCGCTGTTGGAATCAACGCCAAATGCTGTTATGCTTCAACAGTTCTCTAATCCCGTCAATACCCAAGTATGTGCTCAATCCCGCTAAAAAAATACCTTTACTAGGTTATACTGGTTTCTCAATGGGCTGTGCTAATGGGAACAGATACATTATGAGACAACCGGTCCTGAAATATGGGAAGACACTCAAGGAAATGTCGACATTTTTGTTATGGGAATAGGAAGTGGTGGCACTGTGTCTGGTGTTGGACAGTATCTGAAATCCCAAAACCCCAATGTTAAGGTAAATCAAGTTCACAACTTTGCATTAGTTAGAGATTGCTTAAGCGTAGATATCTCGTGCTAATGTGAAGTCGTGTTTATTCTGTCATGTTCCTTGACAGATATATGGAATTGAACCCACTGAAAGCAACATACTGAATGGTGGCAAACCAGGTATACTTTCATCTTCGGTTCATATACTTTCTTAGTTCACTTAAGATCAGGAACTAGAATGACAAGCCAACACTCATTTGGTCGAGTTTATGGCTATGTTTGGCAAATCTAACTGAAAACGTACCTGAAAGCTGAAAAGTAACTGAAAGCTGAAAAACTATAAGCTAGAAGTTGAAAACTGAAGAGCTGTTAAGCTGATTATGCTTAAAAGTGTTTGGTATTATAGCTTATTAGTAGCTTAAAATAAGCTATAAGCTCCTAAATAAGCTCTGCCAAACAGAGCGGCTATGTCTGAGTTAAGGTTTCAAAGCTGCAAAAGATGTTCTTTCAATAAAAACACATTCTAAAATGCTTACTAGTATTGTTTTAGGTCCCCATCACATAACTGGAAACGGGGTTGGATTCAAGCCAGACATCCTCGACATGGATGTAATGGAAGAAGTTCTGATGGTACATAATCATCTTCTTTTCGTTTTTTACAACACCAGATGGGCTAAATATATGTAAATTAAGGCTATGAAGTTTGTTCTATTTATACATTGCAGGTTTCCAGTGAAGAAGCTGTGAACATGGCCAGAGAACTGGCACTAAAGGAAGGGCTCATGGTAATGGCTTCTGAACATGCCTAAACTACAGTGCATTTTCTAGATCGATATCCATCTAACAAAGCCATGAATCATACAGGTTGGGATATCATCGGGAGCTAATACAGTAGCAGCACTTAGACTCGCTAGCAAGCCAGAAAATAAAGGAAAACTCATCGTGGTATGAACTATGAACAATGAACAAACATTATATTTCTGACAATTTAAACGATTCATCATTTTACCTCGACACTTCCTGATTCTTGTCACCTTTCTGCTTTAAACCTCAGACTGTGCACCCGAGTTTTGGAGAGCGTTATCTGTCATCTGTGCTGTATCAAGAGCTGAGAGCTGAGGCCGAGGCCATGCAACCAGTTCCGGTTGACTAGTGATTGTAAACTGTATCATCATAAAAAAATGTACTGAACTTATGTGAATCTTTGTTAAACTGTTTGGATTTCTCATGTTACTTGCATATCTCCAGCCCTATGGTTTCATGTTCGTTTAAAGCTCAAGATGGTAAAAGTCGAACCAAAGACAAAACAACAACATTTGTGTAGTTTCTGAAACAATAAGGTGGATGAATGTTGTGTCACCCTCATAGCAGCCAATTGTTATACCATGAACCAGGATTCATATTGCATTGTGAACCCTGATACAAAGATTCTATACCCTCAACTAACACATTATGTACTTATAGTTAACAGTTTCTGTACATATAAACAAATATTGCATTGTGAACCCTAATACAAAAATTTTGTACCTTCAGTTAACACATTTTGTACCTACAGTTAACAGTTTCTATAGCTGCAGGTACATAAACTATCAACTGCAAGTACAGAATGTGTCAACTATAGATACAGAATTTGAAGGTTATTTTTGGACCAGGGTCCTACAATACAAGGTAGACCCTGGTCCATGGTATAATTTGTCCATGGCAGCTCATCATATGTAACTGGACATTAGGTATATTTAAAATGAACAATTGTTCTCTTTAGGTGAATATTTTCTTGATCACACCATGGGCAAGCAAATGCAGGAACCAAGAAGTAAATGTATTTACATCAACATGAAATTAATAAGAGGATAGGGTCTTTTTTTCACCCCTCCCCAATAAATAGTTTGATGTGAAGTTCTACTTGTTCTTTGGATATAATAACAACATAATGTACATAGACAGCCTGTTAAGGAAATAGGAGCGGTTAACAGAGGTTAAGGATCTACTGGGCCTGCAACTGCCTCATCGCTTGAATCATATTCGTTTTCGCTCAACTCTTCATCACTGGACATCTCTTCTGGGCCAACTCCAACATCTTCGGCTTTGGCATATTTCTCACAGTATTCTGGACAATCAGAACAATGCTCGTCAAACATAATGTAAATGAAACTATTTCACTCAATGGAACTAAACTATATTATGTTCTTCTCCATGGACAATGACCCAAACAATCAGTTTACTTATTCGAGTCTTCAATATCACCTTTGCACTAACACAATAAAGTAGCATTTCTTAAGAGTACAGAAACTTCAAAAGAAAGACAGATTTTCAAGTTCTATGCCACATAAAATTCCAAACATCTTAAATTGTCGATACCTTTAACTCTTTGTTCATATGCAGTGCGGTCTCGCATCATCAAAGCAGCCGCCTCCCCGTTCAATGGGTCTGATGGGTTAGGGTACAAAAGAAGTTGAGGGAGAAACACTTCAAAGACATTTACCAGATCTGCAGGAAATGGTTCCAAATCAGACACAACAACTGATGAACAGTAACAAATTTGGCAGAGTTTCAAAATGGAAATATTTCAACAATTATAGATGACCACAAGCCTCTTACCAAACATGGGGCTCCAAGTCTGATTGATAACATCTAAACAAACTGATCCTGACCTGAAAACCGATCATCAATTAGATTTCGAGCATTTTCTCAAAAGAACAAAATTGACTGGAAACTGAAGGAATTCAGCATTTTGTCACCCACATCTCATCAACATTTGGATGGTAAATTTTGTTAACAAAGCCAATGGATGGTGATTTATAGGGATAAGCATCTGGAAGTTCAACCCTTATTTTCCAAACACCACCATGATAAGGACCTGCCACAATCATAACGAACATTACCCAAATTCAAAGTACAATAACACCTCAATTCAATCATTTACTTCAAGAACAAAACTAACACCAATCTGCAAATATATATATATAGAAGCAGTAAATTTAGTTCTTTCAGTAATCCTAAAAGCACAAACAAAATGGACAGAAAAAATTACACTAACCAAAGAAGGCATAAGCAAAAAAGCAATGAGATAATCAAGAGATACCCATATAAGGAAACCTCTCAAAGATTTCAACTTCCAACAGAAAAAAGATTGAAACTTGAGATAAGGAAGGAGTATATTTACTCTCACTGGGTCCATTGAAATGAACATAGAACTCCTGCATCCCATCATTTATCATCTCCACTTTGTAGTCACTCATCATCCTAATTCAGGTCAAACAAAAACAACAAAAGATAAGATAAAGATTAAGGTAAAACTTAAATTGGGAAGAAAAAAAAAAGGAACAAATTGATTAGAGAAATTACAGTTTCATCAAGTCCATCTCTCTGCGTTTGCTTGGGGAAGACATGATTTTTCTCTGGATTTTCTGTTGTTTTTTTAATTCAAAATTTGTGGGTGGCTCTTGAAAACTAGGAAGGGGATGAGAGAAGAAAAAAAGAGTTTGCTTGTGCTAGTCTCAGAAGGAAAGGCAAAGAAAATGAGTTGGATGCACAGAGAGAGGGGAAGGAAGGAGACACATGAAAAACAATATTTATGATTAGGCCCCTCATAATTTAATTATTTGCAAATATTTAAATGGTGGCTTCCATTTTCACAAGATTCTCCTCTATCTACTTTTGTATGTCTCACCTAGTCACCTACATACGGGGATGACAATTTCAATCCGTCTCGCGAATGTTCATCCGAATTCAATTTGTATGAATCAGATTTTTAGATGATTGTGGGTGGTGGGTCGAGATAGGTCTTAAAAAAGTAAATCCGCGATAGGTCGGGTTGGATTTGAATTCTATGTACAAAATTCACTTAGAACCTCACCTGACCCACCATATGTGTGTGTTTATATATATAATAGTAAAATAAGTATTATTATATAGTTATTTATAAAAGTTTATATAATTTTGTGTATCTTTTTACTATTTTTTTATATCTAAACTACTATGTTTATTTTTAAAAATTAACAATTTAGTTATTATATTTAAATATTTCTATTATTTCATGTTTTAGTATCACTAATAAATTTTATTATTTTATTATGTGTAAGTAATTTAAATATTATTTTTTGAAAAAATAATAAGATGATAAGTGGTGGGTACCCGCACCTGGTGGGTTGTGTGTGGATTTTGAAAATGCCCACCCGATGCGAGTTGAAGGTGGGGGTGAGTGGAGAAAATATAAGATGGGTCGCGGTGATGGATGTAGCCCTCTGCGACCCACACCCGACCCATTGTCATCCCTACCTACATACTAATATATTACACTTCATTATCGCTTGACGGGATAATTGGACATGACACTAGACGTTTGACCCGGTGCTATTGTTCAACTAGAGAAGTCAAAGAAATTAACACGGTCATTGTAACGGTCAAGCAGAGAATATTTATTAGGAGCACTACAGGAGTACAATTATGGAGGGCCAGCACAATTATGAAGGGGCCGGAGCGCACAACAATTACTAAGGAGCCAGCTGTTATATTTAATAGGATGCCGTTGTGCAATTATGTAATCGTTACAAGTTTATAGTATAAAGGATGAGCCCACGTCACAACAGAAAGAAAGACACGCTCTAAAAATAGGGCCATCACAATTATGAAGGGGAGCGCACAACAACTAAGGAGCCAACTGTTATATTTAATAGGATGTCGTTGTGCAATTATTGTAACCGTTACAAGTTTATAGTATAAAGGATGAGCCCACTTCACAACAAAAAGAAATACACGCTCTGAAAATAGGGCCAGCACAATTATGAAGGGGAGCGCACAACAATTACTAAGGAGCCAGCTGTTATATTTAATAGGATACCGTTGTGCAATTATTGTAACCCCAATTATGAAGGGGAGCGCACAACAATTACTAAGGAGCCAGCTGTTATATTTAATAGGATGTCGTTGTGCAATTGGAGCCAGCTGTTATACTTAATAGGATGCCGTTGTGCAATTGGAGCCAGCTGTTGTATTTAATAGGATGCCGTTGTGCAATTGGAGCCAGTTGTTATACTTAATAGGATGTCGTTGTGCAAGTGGAGCTAGCTGGCTGTTATACTTAATAGGATGCCGTTGTGCAATTGGAGCCAGTTGTTATATTTAATAGGATGTCGTTGTGCTTCCCCAGAAAGAAAGACACGCTCTGAAAATAAGAATATGCTCTACTTCTTTCATAATATATTACTAACTCTATTACACTTAGTACGCCTCGCTCTTATGACCTCCTAAATGAGAGAGGTCACTACATGCTATTTGAACAAAATGTGCTTGGCTTATTTCTTTCATTTTATTCCTATAAAAAACAAACATTAAAAGAAAATGAACATTCGAGTTATATATTCAATATATTAAAAATGAATTTATATGTTAGTAGTTAATTTTACTTTGTAATGTAAATTATGGTCCACAGTATAACGATTGTGTATTTTTCTCACTCACTTTTAATTGGTCTAATTTTCTATAGACAATAGGATTAGGTGAATACAACAAATGTACAAATCAGTGCGAGTACATTGTTTTTGTTTTTGTTTTTTAATTATTAATATGAATTATTGACTTAGAGATTGTTTACAACCTCAAGTAAAATATTAAGGAGGTGTTTAGTTGGATGGAAAATGTTTTTTTTTTTTAATAATTAAAAGGAAAATATAGTTTTATGTTGTTTGGTTCATGAAATTCATTTTTTATTGGAAAATGAATTCTTTGCAAATGGGTGAAATTTTGTTTTCTGCAAGGCTTAAGAAAAAAAACATGACTAGATCATTTTACCCTTATAAAAGTTTATTAATTACATAGGTACCTTTTTTTAATGCTACTGACTCTATTACAATGTAGTATCTGTTAATAACTACTTTCTCAACCTAATGAAGCACAAAGACCTAATGAAGCACAAAGAGCCAATATCACCTCCACTGAGCCTCGAACCACAACCTCTTATATAAAGGAGCAACTTGGTGCTATTGAACCGCAAGGTCCTAGGCTATAGGTACCTATTTATTCATTTATCTTTTTAGGGACATATTCGTCTTTATATTCATTATTCTTTATTTTTCTAAACTCAACCAAATAATAAAATTTATATTCCCAGTAATTTCATTTTCACCCAAATACATGAGTCTGGCTCCGATATATAAATTAATAGATGTTTTCTGTCTCGTCGTTTAAGTTTATAATTTGATTTCATATTTCTATTTTATATATTATATATCCAATCCGATTATATCAT